ACCGCTTCGGCCGGGGTCGAGGCGAAGTATGAGTTCATGTCGGGTTTATGGATTATCGGGCGAGGGTTGAGGTATCCCCGGATGAGGACAAGGCTTCATCGGTTGGGGGATCAGGGGCTTTCCAAAAGGACAAGAAGCGCTTCGGCACGGAGATGGCGCACAAAATCCAGGTCCGCACAAGGTTTGCTTGCTCGTTTGAGCAGCACGTTCACGCTTGTGTTGGCCAGTGTGACCGCACTGCATGCACCTTGGAAATTCAGATGGGCAAGCATCTTGGTACTGGCACTGGTAGCTCTGACAGGCACTACAACCTGTTCGGCCCCTGATCTTTTCAGCCCACCCCCTATCGTATCATTTTCTCGGGCCTTGACCATGTGAGAGTTTCGAGCAGTTGTTGTTAGGATGTGGTGTCATGTCGACTCTACACCTTAATGACTTGTTAAAGGATGCAAGATCCGGCTCCAACAGTGTAGCAGCTCCGACAATGCAGCAACTGTCTCCAGCACATTGCTCTTCATCCGCCACAAGAAGTCCTGAGTCCCAAACCCTGTTTGAGCATGCGAAGAATCTTCCACCCTGCATCCTGGGTAGGCCTTGGAGAGGCAGGTGCATGAAGAACGCGCTGTTATCTTGGAGCTCTTGTGCCTTGGCAGCACTTCCACAAGAGAGTCCTGACATTCCTTAGCTGAAGCCTGTTACTCTTTGCTTGAGTGTAAGTTCTGCCAGTATAGAGTGGCACCAGCATGGGTCATGACATCACCATTTTGGGACCCCCTATAGTCGTTGTAGCAACAGACGCACAGGAGCTTTTTTCACCCAGGTCCGGGCGGCCACGACGCCCCACTGTGCCAGAGCCCGGAGTGCGGCCGCGCGCGATGCAGATGCCAAACGCGCTGCAGGCCTACTCGAAAATCCTTTTTTTATCGGACCATGCCGAGCTGCTTTAAATTCACTGCGCCCGGCCGAACAGACCCTTTAGGTTTTAGGTCCTTTCCCGGTCCGCGTTTCGGGCTGTTTCAGGACCGTCCCACCATCACTGCGCCGCATGGATGAAGGGGGTTTGGGTGGTTTAGACTCCCTGCCCAATGCCGGGGGTTGAGTATCTTGTGTCGATGTGGGAGCCCAGAGCCTACAGCCCTCAACCGCGAAGCCCCAAAATTGCAACACCACGAAAACCCCAACCCGTAAGCTTCTACAAAAAATCGACACCCTACAACCCATCAACCTTAAAGCCTAAAAATCCATGGGGCACTCTTCTGGAAGGCCTTCCTGGAGGCCGCAGGCCCCGAGGAAGCGAGGCTGTGGCTCGGTTCCGTCCTCTAGGGTTTTAGGGTTTAGGGTTTACGGCTCTACAGTTTATAGGGCTTTACATATGGAACTCAGGTCTGAGGTGTATAGGGTTTTGGGTGTGGTTGTTCCGGGTTCCTTGGATGCCCTGCAGGAATTCAAGGAAACAGCGGCTGTTACCCACATGTCCCAGATGCCACACCGCTCACTGTCTAGGTAAACGTTTTAGGGCTGGGGGCTGCTGTAAATCAGCATCGGGTTCCTTTCTGCGGCGACCGTGTGTTTCTTTGCACTAGCAATCACTGGCCGCGAGTTTTACCAAAAGTTTAACAACCCCTCAATCTCGTTCATCTGGCACCCTCTGAGGATCGCCCAGCGCCCTGCACTTCTCTCTGCTTTTGCGGAGTCGCAGGATTCGCGATGGGCTGAAGGTGTAGGTTGAGTTTCAGGATCTATATGGCATATGTATACATGTTACGGTCAAGGAGACGGCACGTTTGCAACAGTATGGTTCCAGACAAACGGGTTTGAAGCATGCAAAAGTCCTGAGTCCGGGAACAAGTACCAGCAGCGTGCTCAGTTTGAAGCAGATCTGTTTGCTGCTGCAGCTTCAAACGACAACGGCCTTTAGTTGATTTAGCCTGGATCAGAAGAACTGTTGGACATCTGTTCCATTGAGGAGCTCACCGATGGAGCCATTGAGCCTTGGAGCAAACTTTCAATGTGGAAGCTGCATCGCCTTAGCCAGTATGTCAGCCCTGTGTAAGACCAAGCCAGCTGCTTGACAAAATGCCTTCGATCTCAATTCCCCCAAAAGAGCACGGCCTTCATTCTGGGAAGCTTGATTGAAGATGTAGCATCTCCATAAGCGTTCGGCAACCATGCCCTAAGTGCATGTGCGTGCATCTTCTCCCAAGTTCGCACCATGCAAAGCTTGCCTTCAGCGCGTTTTGATCGGTGAGGCCTCGGTTATCCCCCTCGTGCCTGAAAGGTTAGCTTAGTGGGCGTGGCAAGGCTTGGGGCACACCTTGGTAAAGAAAGAAAGTTCAGGGGGAAAGGGCAGCTCCACTGCCAACTGTTTGTGTCGTCTCCTGGCATTGCAGACACAACGTAGTCCACATCGTCCACATCCCATGAGTTCCAAAGGAGGGATTCAACAGCGAGGAGCGAATCCAGATCTTGAGCCCTGGCTGGGTTTAGGGTTTAGGGCTGAGATGCTGCATGAGAGGCGGCTCTTGACTTTGGGGTGCTAAGGACCCCAGCCAACCTTTTGACTGGCATGAGCTTTCGTTTCTATTTGGTTCCATTGCTTCTGTTGCGATTAATTTAACATGTGCTTGGACCCCCACCATACTTTAAGCACAATAGGCATTGCAACGAATCGCGGCAGTACTTTTACTGCGAACCTGCCGTCAGAGACGCCAGTCTCCGTTGCCGCCTCTGCCACCACAGTTCATGCCTGCAGGTCGCAGCTTCCATGCCACATGCCCATTTTCGGACGTCTGTATAGATTAACGATGTATAGTGTTACGGCAACATATGTATGGTCGCGCAGATCAGGAGCTTGTTCACAGCCTGGGCGACCGTGAGCACATCAGCGCTGCATGTGAGCGACCTCCAGCTCACAGATGAGGAGGTCGTGTTCAGGGCTTAGGGTGCGTGCTTTGATCTCTAGGGAAGCTTCCGACTAGGTGGAGGAGATGGTAAACACCCTCGAGAGCTGCGAGGAGGTGGGGAGGGAGCTCTAGTGTGTTGGCTCAAGATGTTGGGTTACACCGGAAAGGTTGCACTTCGGTCTTTTGGGTAATTAGGGCCGATCTGTGACTGTGGGGTCAGCGGCCAAGGAACATGAACTTGCCATCTGTTTTTGCCTTCAGTGCCTGATTGCTGATAGCAGGTTAACACCAGCATCGCACACGAAGAAACAGACTCAATCTCCCACGGTCGGAGTCCCTACTCCTGTAAACTGCCGCGTAGCAATGTTGTGAGATTGCCAGCCGTGCAGTTCCGGCTGTGGCAGTCAAGAGCGATGGAGATCACAACACTTGAAAGTCGCAGTCATATTAGTCGAAGTCTCGGCTGAGGTGTCCAATTGCCTAGCGAGCGTGCCCCATCCCTGCTATCAGGAGCGAGAGCCGCAAAACTGTCCTGTGAAAGCCGCACCTTCAGAGGTGAAGGAGTGGGAGATGACGCGGTGCCGAAGCAGTAACATCGCGATGCGCCAGCTGCTGAATCATCTCTCCAGCCATGCCCTGTGCAGGCCGGATGGGTAAACACGGGAAGCCAGGACACGGAGGGCAACAGACAAATTTGCATTTAAGCATTCACGAATCGCCATGACAGAGAGGTGACGCTAACCTTTCAATGTTCAGTGCTTTATGGGAGCGGTACAGGCATTGCTATAGCATACATGCATGCTATGTTGTACAAATATTATTGCCAGCAGAGCATGGAAACGGAAATCACACAGTAACCAAGCTCAGCCATCATTTGTCGCAGCAGTTGTGGAGGTTTGGCAGTACAGTCGCGTATCAGGTCATGTGGACACCAACAAGAAGCCCTAGGCCCAACATAGATCCTGGCAAATGTGTATTTGTCATGTCTGACAGCCGAGACCGTAGCCATTCTGGCCCAGACGGGATTCAAGGGTGCGCCCTCCTTCTCCGACAAACCGTCCCGCTCATCAAGTATGCGCTCCCGATCCGCAGTGCTCCGCGGCGCCCTCGCCGCCACGGCATTGGGACTTTGTGTCACTTTCGTGGTGCCCATGTCCCGTGCCACTCCGGAGGCCCATCCTGCAGAGCTCCAGAATGCTCCGGTGGTTCGCGGCTTGGCGCCGGTCTTAGCGGCACCGGGACAAGCTTCCGTGGCCTCGGTCCCCGCGGCCTTCTCCGGCGCTACGCTCCTGCCCGCCACCCTCTTCACCGCTCGGAGCATGGTCAGCGTCCTGAACGTCGTCCGCCACGCCAAGGCCCCGGTCAGCGAGTTTGGTGCTCCCTCGGGTGCGCGCAACTTCCAGGAGATGGCCTTGGGCTTCACCACGGACATTGCCAAGAACAACCTGGGCGAGTCCTTCTACAGGCCCTGGGTTCCTTTCGTGACCACCATCTTCCTGTTCATCTTCGTCAGCAATTGGTCGGGTGCCTTGATCCCCTGGAAGCTTTTTGAGATCCCTGCCGGTGAGTTGGCCGCGCCGACCAACAACATCAACACCACCGTCGCCTTGAGCTTGCTCACCTCCCTTGCCTACTTCGGCGGTGGCCTCGCAAAGAAGGGTTTGGGCTACTTCGCCCGATATGTGAAGCCAACGCCGATCCTGCTGCCCATCAACATCCTCGAGGACTTCACCAAGCCCTTGTCCTTGAGCTTCCGACTTTTCGGAAACGTCGTGGCTGATGAGCTGACCGTGGGAGTCTTGTGCTTCTTGGTGCCCTTCATCATCCCCTTGCCCATCATGGGCCTGGGTCTCTTCGCAGGATCCATCCAGGCACTGATCTTCTCGACCTTGGCAGCGGCCTACATCAAGGAAGCTCTTGAATGAATCGCCTTGGCATAGAATGCATATACTTGAGGCCTGGGTCCGCGGTGTCGGAGGCATTCGGAGGGTCAGGCTTAGAAGGTTGGTTATAATGAGCAGATCCTGACATGCTGACAAGACTAAGAGGCACGTAATTACGGCCGGAGAAGCGGGCTTCTTATCATAATATCAACAAAAAACAGAAAAACAAGGCATTTTTTGGAGTCGGCGCCAAAAGCAGCAGCACTAGGTGCATGCAGCCGCGCCAAATCTGGGCTTCTTCTGTAGGTGATAGATGACCAGACCCAAGTTTCAAGCCCTATATTACCTTATTCTTATGGGCTTTTCAAGACATAAGACAGATGGAGAGTGCAACAAGTCCAGACCGCTTGCGATTTTCCTTGCCTGGTCGAGGCATCTCTATAGTGTGGAATGGCAGGGACGGTCTGTGTCGTTGAATGATTGCTGTTGTGTATGAGATGCGTTCAACCAAGTTGCCCGGCCCAGCCATAGCGAAGCACCGTCCTGTATCGAAGACCACTGCAAGGATCGGAAGTTCTCAAGGCACATTCGTCAGGTAAGTCGGAGCCCATGTTCACGAGGAGTTTCTCTCACCCATTTGCACACAGACAAGCCTTCCGATCCTGCCGGCAGCATCATGGGAGCATATTTCGAAGCGGAAAAGGGAAGTGTTGCTTCAGAAGGTGCGACGCGTCACGAAGACGTCGGGTCGTGAAGCTGCATCGATGAACGTTTCCTCCTCGATGTCCTCCCAGTTGAGCCAGTTGAGTTGTCAGGGTCTCAAGCCGGTTGCTTCATGGTTGAGTCCTTGGCCCCGACACAACCGGAAGCTAGACTAGAGCCCGTGCACCTTAAATCATCAAGCCGCAAAACGATACGAATCCTGATCCCTCAAAGTGTGAAGGGACACTGTCGGCCCCCAACAAAGCCGGACAGCCCCAAAACCGCCAAGCCTAAACCGCCGTGAATTCCGCAGTAGGCTATATTCTCAAGCACCACACACCTCTACAGCCCTTTTGCCGTAAATGCGATGGCTTCAACTGCATCAGGCTGGGGCTTTCCTACAATGCCATTGGCCTCCAGGGCGCGAGGCTTCTCGGTGAGGCAGCGAGGCAAGGCCCCGGGGTGTTTCTGTCTTTGAATGTTTCTCTTGTGGGTCATCCACACGGAGAGGCTCTGGAGGGTCAGTAAAGTGTGGAGAATTGCGAGCTTTATGAATTTTGTTGGGGGTAAATCTCGTCTTGTGAGCCGTTCGCGGAAAAACCGTTGCCAGCAATGCAGGGCAGGTAGTTGTGCTAGCACTGGCATTGGTAGTCGTAATACCGTAGCCGCCTCCGTTGTCGTCCTCGACACGACCAACACCAGCATCATCACCACCACGGCAACTACTACATGCCATTCACAAAAAGGTCCTTTTGCTCCTTGGTCGTCGGCGTTGTATACTTAATACCCGCCTGACTCACGAGAGGATTGGTGGCTGGAAGCATTCCCTGGGCTGCCTGGGCCTCGAGCCTTCGAAGAATTCGTAACAAAAGACATACTGGGAGATGCTGGGACACCGAGGGCTTCCGGTTTGGCATGTTGATGGCAAGAATAAGAAGTCTGGGTATCAGAGGTCTGTGGGTGTCGACGTCAACAGCCAAAGCACGGGCTGCAGAGGGTCCCGGGTTAATCATCTCGTTTTCGGGTGGCATGCCATGCATGGTGTGGGATGACTTGGTGGTCCTCGGATTTCGGGCTTGACTGTGTGGCTCCATAGGTTCAGATCGGATTTCGAAACCCATCTCAAAGGCAGGGCTTCGGATTGCTAGATTTTGGATTTAGGGCTCAGGTGTGACTTAGACTGACCTCAGCCCTGAAACCCACACGAGAACTCCGAAAAGCCTTCATGTACCCAAATCACACTGCACCACACCTTAGATTCCAGACCGACGTTTACTTCCCCACCTCTATCCGCCCTGATCCACGGGTGGGCTCAGGAGATGAACGGACTGGGAGATGCCGGTTGCAAGCAGGCACCGCAGGGTTTGTCGTGTTTTCAGACAGAGCTTGGGGGAGGAAGGGGTTGGATCTGGGAAATGAGAGCTTGCACTATGGTGGAGGGCCTGAGCATCTAGTGCTGAATAGAAGAGTCTCTGTATTCACCACCGGCAGGAGTCAAGTAAGACCGTGTGAGCTCAAAACAGTGAGACTGAAGCATGGGAGCTTTCGGGAAACACCGCCCTAGGCATGATGCTGGACTGCCGAGCTCGTAGATTGTGTTGGTGACGAAAGCCCAACCCCAACGAAACGGCTTGCATCAACCCTGAACTCCATATTACACCATATTATACAAGGGATAAGTGAAACCCTCAACGTCGCCCCCCTGGCCCAACCCCCCACCCCGCAATGACTTAAACCAACTCGACTGCCACGCAAAGAGTCCCCAACGCTTCACCCCCGGTATTTAGGGCTTCCGGTTTATGCAAGAATCCGCATATACTCCAACGATCCCGGACCCCTTCAAACTTCGAAGCCCCATGCCTGAAACCCCAAAATCCGAAGGTCGCGAGCTTGGTGAAGCAGTACTTGCCGGCACTCTCGGTGCTGGAGCTCGGCTGGAACGAGGTCGGGTCGTCGGCCTCCCATCCCATCCCATCCCATCCCATCCCATCCCATCCCATCTGTCCGTGTATGCGTAGCACCTTCACTTCAAGTTTGAGCATTTTGTAGTTTTGGGTCTATAGACATCCGCGCAAACGAACTGTAGCAACGATGGTGTCAGCAAAAGGTCACGGGCGCCAGCGCGGCAGAGCTTGCTCAGCTCGTGCGTGCGCCGGACGGTGACAAGGATGCAGGCGCGCGTGGAGGTTTACCTTTGTGATGTACAGTAGGCCGGGGAAGGTTTTAGTGATAAGTTTGAGTGAACATGCAAGAGTAGCTGGAAGAAGTAAATGAGTTTGCAGCGCTGTGCTTCTGCAGCAGGAGTGAGCCCGGTCAGGATCGTGTTGCTCCAGTCTTTATTTTGATCTTGTCATCTTGCATATTGGTCCAGAGGCATGGTTTATTTTGATGGAACCTTGGTCTTGGGGTTGGAGTTTCGAGTAAAGGACTTGGTTGCGATTCGGATTCACGGTCCCGTACTCCTCCGAGCCCTTAACCCCAAACCCTAAACTCTCAGAGCGCAGAAAGCTTTGTCACAAGGTAGTCAAGAAATTGCGTGGAACTCTGCTGCATGTGAATCTTTCTGTAGCATGGACTCCTATGCAGCCTCGCAAGCAGCCAGTGTAACCGTTTCTAATAGTAGAGCCCTCTTAAACACCCTTTGCAAAAGCCTTGCCCCAACAGGACCCTGAACCCTCAAAGTTGGGCCCTAAACCATCCTAACCCTGCAAACTAAACCTTCTTAAGACCTACAGAGCCGCTTCGAGGCCTTCCGGTGCTGCTCCGGCGCCTGGGCCTTGCCGGGAACAGCCTGGCCTCGGCAGCTTCGAAGTTACCTCGAAACGATGATAGCCATGAGGGCTTTTAAGGGCTTTTTTTGGTTGAGGGTAGGGCTCTGGTGTTCTTCAGGTCGTCAACGTTTGTTTGCGGGCTCGGTACAACGAGGATCCGATTGTTTAGGGTCTACAGTTCTGCCTGCTGTCGTTCTGAGATCGCCACTGCGGATTCTGCAGCAAAGATTGAACTCAGTCAAAAGAACTGGGCCTTAAACGTGTATGTGATGGTTAGGCTCAAGGGAAGAACAGTTTTTTTTTTTTTTTGGGGGGGAGGGGGGGTGTTGCAGCTTCTGATGTGCAAGCTCAATGTCAAGCAATTTGGCAAACGGACGCTACACCAGTGCTGTATCCTGCATCCGGCTCGCAAGAAACCCCGTCACCAGCACGTTTTCACCACTCCTCCGTTAAGAGTCTCTTCGACTCTCGTACCAACTCGAGTTTCTCCACTCCAATCGAATATATACCATCAGAGGAAGCACCGGAAGTCCGAATCCCCAAGTCCCACCCACAAAAAAAACCTGAAGCCCGATGCTCAGGACGAAACTGAAGCCTCGGTAGCTGAGGCTGGTCCTCGCAGCCCTGTCAGACCCATCACGTGAGTTGGAGCTCGACCTGTCCATGATCTTTGTATTCAAGGAGGCTTTGGGGCTTTGAGTATACCGGTGAGGGTTTGTTGGTGGGACCCTCAGTTTCAGGGGTGTGGACTTTTCTTTTTCAAGAGCTGATCGATTATCTAACTAGGATGCACCGCCAGTATTACAGGTCTTGTTGTTGCTAGGATGCGCATGATCTTGATGATGGCAATTTCTATGCGAGTTCGTGCTTTTGTTGGGGTGGCGCGGGACTGCAGCAGTGGGGCTGGCCGCTGGACGGTGTACTGAAGCTATGTAGCTTTAACTTTAAGTTTGGTTCCGCTTTGCGGCCAACCACTCACCAAGGAACCACGTCGATGCCCAAGCGCTGCGGGACGCGGCCGAGTGGGCGCGTGCAAGGAACAGCGGCGAGGTTCAAGTCCATCTCACTGTCAGCCTGGAGTGGAACACCATCGACGACCCAGAGGCTGTCCGGGATCTGGCCAATGCTTTAAGCGGCGCCGAGCTGATGGTGGCAGAGGCCGGGCAGCCACTGATCCAGCTGGCCAACAATGAGCTTCTCGACCTCCAGGCTTCGGAAATACTCGATGCCTCGGTGAACCTCATCATGCTGTGAACTCGAGGCTCGTCCTTGCTGTTCGCCGCCGTCTCACTCCCCTGGTGACCTCGCCGTCGCTTTGGAGAAACGGACCTCCAGTGAACTCCAGCAGACGCTTTGCAGTGACTGCTTCGTCAGGGCGGTCCTTGTCTTACCAGGCTAAGAGTTGCTCTCTCTCTGAAGCCAGAATCCCATCTCTTTGCCTAGGTCATCACATCTTCCCTTGTGCGTGGGCCTGAGTTGTGGGTGGGAGAGTGGCGCAGGCTTTTGTGGTTAGAGTGTGGTAGTGTGTGGCTTGCAGTTGTGTAGTGTGTGGTTTGCAGTTGTGGCATCCTGTGTTTTTGGGGTGGGGGTGGGGGGGGGGGG